GCAGCAGCAGGAGAAACATTTCAGTAGTTGTTGGAGAACCTCAAGTACGTGTCATATTCCATTTTGTACTAAACAGGTCTTGCTGTTTCTAACCCCCACCTGGTCACCTGTCTGGAGAAAAGCAGAGATCCCTGGAATGTGGAAACATGGAAGAGAGCAGCTGCACCTCCATGTGGGTAGGAATGGATGAAGCAGCACACAGAGATGAGAGATCCAAAGCCCAAGGACAAAGGCAGTGTTTATCTGGCTAAAGTTAATTTTTTTTTCTTTTTACTTGTGCTTTTGGTGTCCTGCCTGAGAATCCATTGCTTAATCCAAGGCCATGAAGATTTATACCTGCATTTTCTTCTAAGTGTTCTATAGTGTTAGTTCTTACATCGAGGTTCTTGATCCATTTGGGTTAAATTTTGGAGTAACATATGAATAGGGGTTCGACTTTATTCTTGGTCATGTGAATAGCCAGTTGTTTCAATACCTTTTAGTGAAAACATTTTCTGTTGCTCTTTGGCACCCTTTCCAAAAATCAATTGACCATAGATGTGTTTATTTTTATACTGTCAATTCAATTTCATTTATCTCTAGGATTACCCTTGTCCCAGGACAGCAGTTTTGAATAATGTACCTTTGTGAAAAGTGTTGAAAATTGGGAAGTCTGAGTCCTCCAGTTTTATTCATTTTCAATAAGTGTTGAGATTTGCTGAGTTACCCAGGCTGGCCCTGAATTTGGTATCCTCCTGCCTCAGCCTTCCAAATAGCTGGGATTACAGGCATGCACCACCACATGGGGCTGATTTCAGTTCTTTTAGATTTATTGAGACTTGTTTTATGGTTATGTTAGTCAGCTTTCTGTTGCTGTAACAAAATTATCTGAGATAACCAACATAAAAAGAGGAATATTAAACTGGGCACAGTGGTGCATACCTGTAATCCCAGCACTCTGGGAGGCTGTGACGGGAGGATCACAAGTTTGAGACTAGCCTGGGCAATTTAGGGATTTAGTGAGACTTGTCTCAAAATTTAAAAGGGTTAGGGATGTAGCTCAATGCTAAGGATCTGGGTTCAATCCCCAGTGCTTGTGGGGAGGGTCATTTTGGCTCCTGGTTTCAGTGGTTCCAGTCTAGGGTTGGGTAGCCCTGTTACTTCTGGGCCCAGTGAGGCAGAAATCATGGCAGAGGAAGCTCTCACTTCCTGGCAGCCAGGAAAGAGAGGAAGGGGAGGGCAAGGTCCTGACGTCTTCCTGGGGGCTGCTCTCCTGGCCCACTTCCTCCTGTGAGGCCTGTGTCTTGCTGCACCTTTAGCCTAGGGGCCTTGGGGACAACCACAAAAATGTCAGAGTACCTGGTCTAGCTTTCCTAGACAGCAAGCTGCTTGCACCCAAGGAGACCCATGCTCCATTGTGACTTGGTCTTGCCTGATGCCCATGAGTCCTGGCGAGTGAAGATGTCTGCTGTGGGCTGTTCTGTCCACCATCCAGAACAGGAACCAAGTCTTCACCTCCCGCTCACCTGTCTCTTCTCCTCCGTCCTGCCGGTTTTAGCTGCATGTATTTTGGGGATCTATTTTGAGTGCTTATAGGTTTGTTTGTTTACTTTTTGGATTTTTGAGACAGGGTCTTACTCTGTAACCCAGGCTGGCCTTGAACTCATGATGATCCTCCTCCAAGCATGGGCCACCATGCCTGACTGCTATCTCTCTCTTTTTTTTTTCTTTCTGTTTTGTGTTTACTCAATGGGTTTAATCATCTCAGAAATCTTTCTCTTCATCAGATATTTGATCCCCTTGCAAAATTTTGGTTTTTGAACTTGAATGTGGACCTTTACTCCATCAATTATGTGATTTTCATGTTGCACTGCATTCTGAAGTGCTTCTTCTGAAGTAAAGTAAATCCAACACATACCTTTATGAAAGCCAGTCTGTTTATCAAAAGGAAGAATGCACTTTTGCATATGGCCAAACTGAGCAAAGTGTTTTCTCAGCTCATTGGCTGTTGCAGTCCAAGGAATTTTCCAGACAAAAGCAACCTGCCGAGTAAAATTTGTATGCAGTGTCAGGGCACCCCTCGCTACGGAGGCTGCCATCTTTAGACTGAACCCACTGCTATCTCTTCAATTCCCTTGTTCTAGCCAGATGTGGTGACACACACCTGTAATTCCAGCACTCAGGGGGCTGAGGCAAGAGGACAAGTATGAATTCAAGGCCATCCCGGGCTACCTATTGAGACCCTGTCTCAAAAAAGCCTCCCAAAAGGTTTTTCTTTTTCCTTTTACTGTATATTTAGAAGTTTATTATCTTAGTGGTTACTCTGGGGATTCCAATGAATATATTAATTGATAACAATCTAGGTCAGATTAATATCAGTTTAATTTCAAACCAGATGAGATTATTTTTAAAAATAATGTTTCAGATTCCACTCCACCCAAAATGCATGATGCTATCTTTTTATCTTCCTTAACTAGGCAGCTTTCTGGCTCTCTGTATTCTTCATATGGATTTTGGTCATTGTCTTCCACCCTGTGATTCCAGCCTGAAGGACTACTTTTAGTTTTTCTTACAGGGAAAGTTTTCTGGTGATGAATTCTTGCCCACTAGAATGGTTAAATTTTTTTTAAAAAAACTGACATCACCAAATGCTGGGGAGGATATGGAACAGGAACGTTCATTTATTGCTGATAGGAAAGCAAAAATGCTATGGAAACTTTGTTTTTTGCAGTGCTGGAGATTGGAACCTGGGCCATACACTTGCTACACAGTTACATCCCCAGCCCCCGTGTGGCCACTTTGGAAAACAGTCTGGCCATTTATAAAACTTTGCATGTAACCTAGCGACTGTGCTCCTGGTGTTTACCCCAAGGAATGAAAACATACATCCACACAAAACCCTGCACAGATATTAGAGCAGCTCTATTAATAATTGTCTAAACTTGGAAGCCACCCAGACGTTCTTCAGCAGGAGAGTGGACAACTATAGTGCATCCCCAGATAATAGAATATTGTTTGGTGCTGAAAAAAATGCACTATCAAGCCACAAAAACACATGGAGGGACCTTAAACACATATTACTAAGTGCTATGGTTTGTGTCTAGATGTCCCCCCAAGGCCATGCAGGCATAGGTGGGCTTTTGCAGAGGTGGCTTGATCTACAGCGTGTGAAGCTGGAATTGATTCGTGATGCAATGCTACGCTCAAGGGCACTAGGATTGAGGACGTGAGTGCTACCTTCCCTAAGTAGTCTGAACAAGATAAAAGGGGCAGAAAGACTGTTAAGTTCCCTTGATTGGTTGCTTTTGCTGTCTTCTGCCGCCATGAACTGCTGCCCCTCTGCCATGTGCCATTCTGCCTTGGAGCCAGCTGATTATGGACTGAAACCTCTACGAACTGAAAGCCAAAAAAACCTTTCCCCTTCTAATTCTGGGTGTTGGGTATTTTGATTCAGCAAGGAGAGAAAAAGTAACTAAGACAATGGTGTAATGCTAGGATCAAGGACATTAGGATTAAGGGTGTGAGTGCTACCTCCCCTAAGTAGTCTGGATAAAACATAAGGGACAGAAAGCCACTGTTAAGGTCCCTTGTTTGCTTGCTTTTGCTGTCTCCTGGTTGCCATGAACTGTTTCTCCTCTTCGATGTCCCTCTGCCAATCCATTCTGCCTTGGAGCCAGCCAATTATGATCTGAAACTTCTACAAACTGTGAGCTACATAAACCTTTCCTCCTTTAACTTTGGGTGTTGGGTATTTTGTCTTAGCAAAAAGAAAAGTAACTTAATACACCAAGTGAAAGAAGCCAGTACGAAAGGGCTACCTACAGTATGAGTCCAATTAGATGACACCCTGGAAAAGGTGAAACTATGTATTACATGTGTCAAAATCTCTAGACTATACAGCAGTGAATTGTAACATAAACTGTGGACTTTGGGTGATAATGACATCTCAGTGCAGTTCCTAGTGGCATGGAATGTTGAAGGAGGGTGGGCCTTCCATGGGAAAGAGGGTGTGCGGGAGCTCTCCAACACTTTTCTCCTCTGTTTTCTGTGAGCCTGAAATTGCGCCACTGTGCTCAGCTAATCTGTTTTTTAAGTGAAGTGTTTAATCTATTTACATTAATGTAATAGTTAGGGCCAGGGATTTAGCTCAGTGGCATTGCGCCTGCCTTGCAAGCACAAGATCCTGAGTTCAATCCCTGGTACCGGTCAAATAAATAAATAAATAAATAAATAAATAAATAAAATTGATGTAAAGCATTTCAAAGAAAAAAATTAATATGGTTGATTTAAATATACCATCTCGTTTGCTTATTTTCCATTCATATTACTTTGCTTGTTCTTCGTTCTTTTATTGTAATCCTTTATATTTTTCTCCATTACTGTATATATATATTTTTATTGGTAATACACTTCTAATTATACATTTAAAAGTTAATCTGTGATTACCCTGGAAATTACAATGAGCATCCATAATTTATTAGCATCTACATTAAATTGTTGCCATTATTTCCCGAGCAATGCAAACAGCCTAGAAAAATGGATTTCACTGATTCTCCTCCCACATTTTGTACTATCGTTGCATGTATTATTCTTCTGCAATGTTTTATTGTGGTACTGGGGATCAAACCCAGGAGTTCTCTACACCCAAGCCCTTTTAAATTTTTTGAGATAGTGGAATTAAGAAAAAAGAATTAAGAAATGTCATGTACATGTACTAACTCCCTGCAATGTATTTTATTATGTCACAGGGAGCCAGATCTTCCTGAAATGGAAGATCAAGAGATAGAAGGAGGGGCGATCTGTTACGTACGTATACCAACTCCCCACAACCAATGTAATCATTACATGAATTAACCAAACATGAACTAATAAAAAATTAAAACTGAGAGGGGAATATTCCTGTGTAACAATAAGAACTTTTTGTTAATCAGCCGGAAGCCCAGGCAGGAACCTTGGCAACGCCTACGCCAGCCACACCTTGTACGGAACCAATAGTGACCGCGCCGGGTTTCTGGCCGGTCCTACCTCAGGGTGGCAAGCGTGCGGTGTGACGCGCCTGCGTAGTGGGAGGGCGCGGCGGCAGTTGAGGCGGTGAGCGCCGAGTGGTGCACCTACCCCGGCCACCATGAGCACCAAGCAGGTCACTTGCAGGTCAGTGCGCGGCACCCAGAGTTTCGCCGCCGGGGACACTGAGGCGAGAGAGGGACTTTCAGGAAGTTGCTCAGGGGTCCTTCGCGGCCGCAGGGTAGGGGAGAGGGGGCATGGGTGCGAGCGTGGGCGTGAGGTCTCTGGGTAGCGGGGTCGCGGGCTTGGGCGCTAGGGGCCTCGCTGTCCGGTCCCGAGCAGGGCAGCCGCGCTGACGCCAGCTTTGTGGGCATCGTCGCCGACCTCACAGTGACCGCCGGCCGCGATCCTTTTCTCAGGCAGGGAGCCGAGCCCGACGGAGCTCCCGCGATGCCCTGAATCCTGCTGAGACTCTGGGAGCCTTGAGGGTGGGTTTGATATCGGAGGCCGTGGTCACTCGCCCGGGATCCGGGGCCATGGACCATACGTGGGGAGTACAGGGTGGGCGTCCCCCGTCTGGAAATCCAAACCTTGACATGCTTCAAGATCCTTTTACAACGCCCTGAGCGTCGACAGGGCGCCGCAAATGAAAAATTCCACATTAGGAAAGTTTGTTTCATGGCCAAAACTGCTAAAAATGTGGTGTAAAATTACCGTCAGGCTATGCGTGTAAGGTGTGTATGAGATATGATGAATTTTGTTGTGGACCTAGGTCCTTTCCTGCAGATTAAGCATGTGCGAATCTTCCAAAATCTGAAAACATCCGAAAGTTAAAACACTTAATGTCTCAAGCATTTATAAAGAATATTAAACCTAGGGCCGGGCATTTAGCTTAGTGGTTTCGCCGCCTGCTGCGCAAGCGCAAGGACCCGAGTTCGATCCCCTGTAAAAAAAAAAAAAAAAAAAAAATTAAACCTGCTCCCAGTTTTATTTAGTTGGTTTCAGTAAAACGTGCCTGGGCAATATTTCTAAATATTTTTGTTACCTCTCTTCATTGGTGTGAATGAGAAGTGATGGAGTTTTGTTAGTGTTAAGATACTAACTATTGAGCCAGTTTTTTTTTTTTAAGAGTGGGAATAATGTATTGAGAGAAAGATATCTTCTGTCTAAGAGAGACAGAAGAGGAACCGGAAAATGGGTTACCTCTGTTGAGCCAGTTTTAACCAAAGGCCCAGGCTCATATTAAGCAGTTGTCAAATTTCCCATTAGGTTTGGGTGTGGTGGTACATGCCTGTGACACTCCTGTAATACCAGCAGTCTAGAAATCTGAGGCAGGAGGAACACAAGTTCAAGCCCAGCCTGGGCAATTTCATGACTGAGGCCCTTTCTCAAAATTAAATAATAAGTGTGGGCATGGGGTGGCTCAGTGCACAAGCCCTGGGTTCAGTCTCAGTACTGAAAAAAAAAATTACAGTTAATATCTGTAAAAATACTTTTACTAGGTTATTTGTGTTAGAAGGTCTTTTGTGAAGGCCTGTTTGTATTTGAATTTATTTTAATTTTTATTTATATAGTTTTCTTTCTTGAGGTGAGTGTTCTTAGGTCATTGCACATTGTAAAGCAGATTTTAGCTAATCTGTATTTGACTTGCTGTGTGGTTTAATTCTCCTGTTCCCATACCTGCTTCTAAGGTGTGTCCACAAAATGGTGCACATTTATGTACTGCTTTGTAATTGAATCTCAGTACAGTGTAGTATCTCATTTTACAGATAAGGAAACTGCTGAGAAAGACTTGAGGCTTGTACAAAGTTTTATGTCTTAGTACACTAATAAGAACGTAAATCACATCTTGATTTTTTTTTTCTTTTTGCACTTGGAGATAGCTTGACCTGAGAGTTTTAATTCTGTTTCCCAAACAAGAAGATCCTATAGGACAGTGATGGTGAACCTTTTAGTACATTTGCTTTTTTTTTTTTTGGTACCGGGGATCGAACTCGGGTCCTTGCACTTGTGAGGCAGGTTGCAGAACCACTGAACTAAATCCCCGGCCCTATGGTGAACCTTTTAGAGACCAAACTGCAGCCCAAAACCCACTGAGTGCCAACACTACAATTAAACCTGAATACTAAGGTTTTAGTTTAGAAAAAACAACTGCACATTAACATGTTTTGTCTTCAAAGAAAAACACAATAACACGTGTGCCATAGGTTGGCCACCACTGTGTAGGGTCTTACTACATATAAACTAAGAGTGAGTTGGAATGTTGAGAACGATGGCTTCTGTTCAAGCATTAATTCATGTTTGTTGGAGTGCTTACAATATCCTGGGCCTTCTTTGAGGTGTCTTGTCAAGTGTACTGTGTGACCCTTCAACCCGTTAGATGTGTCCCACAGATCATGTCACTGAGCCTCAGCATTGACGGTTTTCCCCAAGGTTTTACAGCTTCCAGGTAGCAGAGGTGTGATATCAGGGTTCATGCTTTCATAGACTTAAGGCCTCCATATAAGTTTGGGAATGTCAGTTTACTGCAAGACTGAAAGGGCAACACAGAAACGTACAGAAAGGAAAAAAAATGTAAAAGGATGAGAAGGGTCAGACCTTGCCAAGTAAAAAACAGAAAAGGTATTTGAGTGGAAAAGATTGCAATATTACCAAGAATACCAAGTTTACATAGTGAGTTTGTGGTAGCATTTCATTCATTATCTTATTCACAGAAGCCTTACCCAGACATTGATAACTCAAAGAAAATATTCAAGGTCTGATTTATTTGTGTGTCTAGGTGGAAGCAGAGTGCTTAGCTGTTTTCTTGGTTTCTCTCAGGTCGAAAAATGTTTTGTTTTCCTGACTCTGAGATATAATTTCTTAGGCTGGGCGGCAACAGAACAATTTTGCTTCCATCCTGATATGCATTATGTCCTTCTAAGAGATAGATGGCTGTCAAACATCAGCATGCTGAGTGAGACCTGCTAATGACAGTGGTGTTCTAGTAGTGTGTTTCCTGGAATCGAAAGTTAGCAGCTCATGTGACCATGCGGCTGGTCAATTCTGCAATTCCTGGACATCCCACTCTATCAAGAACCTCCAAGAGGGGGATCTCTTTGCTGATTTTTGCCCCCTAAGCATCTCTTGGGTTTTACCCACTGTTTCAAAGCCCTGATGCAGGCCCTTACTACATCTTGACAGTCACTTGCCTCTTCCATCTCCTCAAGGGACAGAGGTTCCTTCATCTGATAATTGCATTTGAAGACCTAGACTTTCAGTTTCCTGTGATGGTCAGGCCTTGAGCTTCACGTCACACAACGTGGAGGATCTTGTCTGTTGGTAAATAGCAGAAAGAGCTTGTGCTCCAGTGTTGAGCAGTGCCAAATTCAGATCCTGCTGCCACCTGTGCTGCAGTTCCCTCATCTGTAAAATAAAGCTAGCTATACCTCACCCCTAGGGTTGGTAAAAAAAACTAATAACAACAAACCATCATAAAGCATTTCCTTTTTTTGTGGAGTTGGGAATGGAACTGAGACCCTGGAGCATGCTGGGCATATGCTGCAGGAGTGAGCTGCACCCTCAACCCTTAGAGTATTTACTGTGCTGGGCTAAGCACTTAAGCATGGTCTTGGTAATAGAGCAGGAGGTCAGCAGCAGCCCACAAAGGAAGTGCAAGCCTTGCAGTCATGGTACAGATGGGGAGACAGGCTTGGAGGGTGAAGGCAGTGGCTTGCTGTAGGTCACGTAACAATCTGCATCTGGCATCTTCATATCACCACATTACAGTACTGTATTTCCTTCTCATCTCTTGAGTAATATGTATGCTTCAAGCCCACCATCATCTGCCCCCTCCCCTTTAGTGGATCTGTTATCACAGGCAGTGTAGCCATAAAGTTCTAGCCTGTGAAAATATGTAGGGAAATGCAAAGAAAAGTGACCCTGACAGTGCAGATTACCCAGTTATTTGGAAATTATTTGCGAAAGTGTTTTGCTGAAGAGATAAACACCATTCAAGGGCTTGCAGGGAACTAAACTGATGCTGTTTGGTTCAGCCCTCAGCTTCAGCTACTGGCAGTGTGTGGTTGTAGTGAACCTGATGTCCTTTGTGATGTATAATCCCCATACTGTCCGAAAGTCCTTTTCTGGTCATGCAGGGTAGCAGACCCTTTTGGAGCATCCCCAAGTCTGCAGCTATATGCTTCCTCTCCAGCCCTTCCCCATCCCCAGTCTGCGTCAGTCATCTCTGTAGGATAATGAGGAAGGAAGGCTAAGCAGTTGGAAATTTATCACAGAATACAACTTGAAAGAGGCCTGGATTAAGCTTTGTATAACATAGGGGAAGAGGAATGACTGAGTGGATGAGAAAGGTGCCCTGAAGGACAGGTGGGATGTGCTCAGCATTTTGCTTGGGGCGTGAAACTAGTGATATACACTACAAAAATAGGACTTGGGGGGGGGCGGTACTGAGGATTGAACCTAGAGCTTTGTATTTGAGCTACATCCCCAGCCATTTAAAAAATTTTGTAATTGGTTACCCATGCTGGGCTTTTGAATTTGCAGTCCTCCTGCCTCAGCCTCCCAGAGTACTGGGATTACAGGCTTGCCACTACCACACCCAGCTTAGTACATTTTATATAACACTTTGCGAAGGCAGTGGTGGTCTAAAAGTTATTTTTGAACTTGTTTAAATCTGTACTTGGTCACTTAACAGACACGTAGCAAGTGTTTTGCACAAAGTCAGCAGCCTATAAGTGGCCAAAACTGACTAGAAGTTCTGGTTGGCAGTTAACTGTCTGGGCTTTAATTGAAAAAATAATTAAAACAGTGTGGAGGGCCAGTTTTCTGAACAGGAATTATAAAAGATAATGGTGGAATTATAAAAGGAACCCTTGGAGGACACTGAAGCCTTGAACAGTCTTCCTGTTGCCTGCCTAGTAACAAGTCTGATGGTGGAGGACCTCTGGTATCTTACACTCTGATTCTCTCAGGAAATCTTCTGGTTTACTTTTTCTGTAGGCATCTATGAAGTATTTGTTACATTTTTTTGTAGAACTTTATGTACCATTTTAAACCTGTTCTCATGTTGATGAGTTCAGCAATCTTTTTTTTTTTTTTTGGTACCAAGGATTGAACCCAGGACCTTGTGCTTGTGAAGCAGGCACGAT